CACAACGAGCCCCATTCTTTGGGGGTGGATGCCTTCCTCCAAGACTGGACGGGGGAGGCCAATTGGGCCAATCCGCCGTGGTCGGTCCTTCCGCGCCTTACGGCCTTCCTGCGCCACCACCCGGAGGTGGAGACGGTAGTCCTGGCTCCGGACTGGCCGTCGGCCATGTGGTTCCCTCGACTTCGGCGCTTGGCGTCGGCGGAGATGCTGATTCCTCGCCGCCCGGGCATGTTCACGCCGGGCGATCCCTCGATCCCGGCCAGCCTGCCTCCCCCCCGGTGGAACCTCCGAGCCTTCCACATTCTGCCGCGGACTCGGGTTCCGACTGCGGGGCCGGACCGCCCTCTTCCCGCTCAGGATCGCCGGTCGCCGACCCCCTCCTGGTGGAGGTAATGCCGGACGATCACCCGCTATTTTGGTGTGATGTGGACGGCCTGTCGGCGTCCGATCGGTCGTGGATGCAGGTGCAGTTTCTTTCCTTTTATACCCAGTCGACGCGGCGATCGATGCATCGGAAGTTTGCCCGCTTTGCTGAGTTTTGCGAGGCAAACGACTTGGCCAGCCTACCCGCGCGGCCTTCCTCAATCTACCGCTACATCCGCTTTCTGCGGGAGGAAGGGCGGGTGGGGATCCGCAGTCTTCCCCAGTATTTGGCGGCCATCTCCATGGTCCACCAAGCCATGGGTCACCTAGACTTCTCCGCCTTCGACCCCGTCACCCGGAGGCTTACTCGGGCGTGGAGGCGGCAGGAACCGGAGCCGGCTCATTCGCATCGGCCCGTTCCTACGGAGCTGCTCCACGCCGTCCTGGACTTTGGCCTGGAGACTCAAGACCTGCGGCTCCTTCGCGCGGCCTGCTCGGCGACGCTCGATTTTCTTTTCTTCAATCGGGCGCAAAGCGGCCATTTGGTTCTCCTCGACGACATCTGCCTGGAGAATGGCCTGCTGATTTTCTGTGAGCGCCGGACCAAGCTCTCGGCGTCAACGGACCCTCGCGTCCGGTGCCGGTCCTGGCCCTCGTCGGGCGCCCCCGCCATCATCGATCTGTTCCTCCGATGGTCGGCCGCTCGGGACAAGGCCTGGGCGGATGCGGGCGGCTCCTCCAGGCACTTCTACACGCTTCCGGGGGAGCAGGATCCCTCATCACGGACGGTCTCCGCCTGGTTTCCTCTGCTGCAGCAGGCCCTTCCATCGCCGCCCCCCGCCCCTTTGATCATCACGGCCTACGCGGGGGGGGCGCGAGCTCCTGCTACGCCTTGGAGGTGCCGGAGGGGCGCATCCGCGCCTGGGGCGAGTGGCGCAGTAACGTTATGTGGAAGTACATTGACGTGTACTGGCTACCATCCGAGTGGGACTTCCGGCTGTTTGGCTGGATGACGATTACGGCACGAGACTTAACCGCCCAGTACGGGCACATCTTCTGCCCGGGCGGGGCGTCATTGGCCCGAGAGTGACCAAGGCATGACCACGCCTTCGCTCCGGAGGAGCTGCACCGTGCCCCAGTGTGAGTGGGCACATTTTAAGTGGGTCGCCAATCGGGTCTTGTACTAGTGAGGTGATGGACACCAAACTGTGTGAGTGTAATGTATTGTCGTGTGGGGAACACGGGGGGGGTTGAAGGAGACCGGTAAGGCAGAAATGGAATTAACTATCCTGTTAATGGGTTTCTGCTAAGGACGACGATTGGGTGGGCGCGCAACGGCCAGGGCGGGCCGTTCCGCCCTTTGGGACAGTTTGGCCATCCATCAGCCGGGTTTCTGTCACCCCTGTACTCGGGGTCAGTGCTGCCCGACGCACCCAAGGGCGGTGGGGTTGATCCTTGTACCTTGGGCGCAGCCAAGGGGACTGGTCAAGCTGGCCCTTGGGTTTGGCGGGGAGTTTGGCGGCAAGTGGGAGCGGCTATTTTAGGCGCGACCCTTGGCGCCCCCCTTTATCTTGTTTCGCACCCGCCCGGCCCACCCGAATAGTGTGAGTTCGGTTAGCTGTGGGATGGAGAGGGAGTTGAGTACGAGGAAAGGGGAACTGACTCTGGGTTGAGTCACTATCAGAGTGGCATTAAGTACTATGCGAAGCGAGGGCACATTTTAAGTGGGTCGCCAATCGGGTCTTGTACTAGTGAGGTGATGGACACCAAACTGTGTGAGTGTAATGTATTGTCGTGTGGGGAACACGGGGGGGGTTGAAGGAGACCGGTAAGGCAGAAATCTTCGTTCTCTCCTGCTGCGGAGAAAACACGCTGCTTCTGGAACCCCCTTCCTTGGCTTCATAGACTGCGCTGGATGGTGATTGCAGAGTAGGTGAAAAAGAATATGCTTGCGTCATGGCTGTGGATGCAGCTGCTGCCTAGGGACTGCTTCTTGAGATAAAGGCTGCTGCTCCATGGTATACTCTTCCTCTTCTGGAGCTGAAGAATAGGCTGCTTCTGCATCCTCTTCTTCAGCTTCTTGGACTGCATTGGGGATGATGACCCTGCTGGGTGATAACGCTAGGGTGGCGCTGCATGGACTTGGGTGGTGGTGGGGGGGTCATTTGGAGGGTTGTGCTGCCGCCGCCCCAATAGGCCACCCAAGATGACTAAGCCAAGAGCCTCTACTATGCTTATCGCAGGGGATACTAAACTGCCAAAGATACTGCTCTCTATTGATTGCAGCGTGCTGGACAGGGTACTGCCAAACGCCTCAAGGCTGCCTGTACTGTAAGCTAAATAGGCAACACCGCCACCCACTGCGCATACTAGGCCCACTACGAGCATCTTTTTCCGGTGTTTCCATTCCTTCTGTGCCTCAAGGCCTGATATTTGCTCCTCGGATCCAAGAAAACACAATTGTTGTACGCTCCGAAACTCAACTGAAGCGCACAGCACTGTTGAAACGGTTTATCAGTGAAAAATGCGCCAAAATACCCTCCATTCCTGTCCTGAGGTGGGAAATCGCATCATTTGCCACCCCCATGGTTGCCATGGACTAGAGTGCAGAGGACCATCCCACGTCGTTTGATGATATTCAACGATTTTCGGCACCAATGCCACGCCAACGTCAATAAGGTGATACATTCTCCACATCGTGACGCGGTCTCTACATGCCGTCTCCGTTTTTGCCCGTGGATTGAATGGCCATGTGCATTGCCCAACTGCCTTATCTCTGACATGAGGATCCAGGCCATACCAGGCACCACATGGAATGGAGCACATGCCCTTCTCGTGCTGCGCATTCTTGGCTCCCTGTCCCTCACGGCGCTGGGCATTAATGCAACATTAGCTGCAATGTCTTGATGTCTTGTCTTTCATGAGATCGATCATGGGTGTGCCCTTGTACAGCACGCGCGTTCGCGCCGACGGAATGTTTATGCGAGGGTGGTCGTGGGCCAGTGGGTGCGAATATATATCGTTTCCTCAGCTTTTCTATTCCGATCATGGCGGGGTGGGATGGGTACGTTGGGAAGCTGGCGCAATTGCGCGTGAGGCGCGCCCAATTCTGCAAATTATCTTTTGATCGACCTGTTGCCGGCGCTCCTTGTCGGCTTGGATTTTTCTGGTGGTGTTAGCTGCCAGAAAAAATGCAACAGACCCCGCCTGACTAGCTGATGCGCTTTGGATCTTGCAACATGCGCCATATGCCGCATCTCGTAGATCACTGATACTTCACTGTTTTTGCAGAGGCCACAAGAGGCTATGGAATTTATGGCTACATATGTGCGTTTTCACAACGCTCGGACAACATGTTCCCAATATTTTGACCTGGACCAACCAGCGATTTTGCCAACTTCAAAACACTCGTGTGTCCTGTGCCAAGCTGCCATCTGTCTGGAAGCGTGCTGAGCTGCAGCAATGGCTGCCAGGCCTTGGCTTCACCATATATGGGCACACTACCTGCTGGCTTACCGCTCAGCGCGTCACCTTTAGATTTCATCCGCTGATGTGGTCTGTATCAGCCAAGGTTTGAAAGAACACTTCGCTCAAGCATGGCAAAACCCTGTCTCGACTGCAAGCAGTGGATCTGCTCGCAGCCCACCGACAAATGTGCCCAATGAAAGATGTGCGGTCACAGGCAAGCGTGTGGTCTTACTCTTGCGGATCCATCTGTTGGCGATCTGCGACGATCTATGGTGGTCTACGGTACAGATGCTGTGGTTCATTGTCAGGCATAGGACGCACTTTGCAGCCAAATACACACTGCCGAGCGAGCACGCAGCTATATTATCCAGGTCGACGCACGGACATAACTGGTTTTGATGTGCACAACAACATATCAACCTACAGCGGGCTGCAGAAGTGCCTCGCAAGTGACAACCCTTGTCACTGTCACAACGAAGCAACATTCCCAACTCCAGCGCGGGTATTATGCAACATTTGCTACCCACAGCACAAGCGCACCATTGCCAGCTCTTAGGCACACACTTGCACTCTTGGGCGAGGTGGCTTTGGCATGCGGCATCTCAACATCTATTGCACCTGACAACGACTTGCCCCTGAAGAATCCTGGAACGCTATCATCCACAACCATAATGCCTACAGCCAAACTGATCAACATGCAAGGTGTCCAACTGTACAATTGCAAACGCATGGTGCTCAGAACAAGTGCCTTGCACCCTGCTTTGCTTTGGATCCTGATAACCTCTACCTGCCTACAAATGCCATTGCTTGCACTGCAAGCTTGTCCAACCCCTGCTACCGCAATTCACAACAATACTCTGCACTGCCCAGCAACATCGAAGGATTGCTGCCATCGTGTTCGAGTAGCTTAGCTCACACTGCTGCGTCAGCAAATTATCACTGACAGCATTGCATCATCTGTACTGCAAGGCAGGCACCAAAGCAAGCCAACACACAGCAGCTTGGTTTCTGCCCCTGCTTCGCCTCTAAGCCGGATAGCAGTATCGTGGAAGCAGACATGTGTGGTACCTCACCACCACAAACTGAATTGCAAAACCCGTCGCACTAATGGTTTAGTCTGATTAAAACTGCACAAGAGTTTCACCATCTACAATGAATTGCATTGCTTCTCAGGCATCCTCCAAAGTGGCCAAATAATGCTCGACTTCAAGAGCTGCCATGCAACCTATCAACACCCACACAGCAATTTGCGGTCAGCAGGATTACAACTCCTGTATTCGCAAGGTCGCAAACTGTATCCAACAATGGCAATGCAGACCCTTCAGAAAGATACTGTCAGTGAGTTCCTGCACATTGCCCACCATGTAAATACAAAGGGGGAACCAAGAGGAAAGGCCACCAATTCAAGGCACCTGGTATCCCCCGATGCTTGCACACAACAAGTGTAGCAGCACACAGCTGGCAAAGTTTCACAATTTTGGGGCCTGTTCATACATTAACTGATATATATCTGCACACAGGCTTATCGTTTCAAGACTAAAATAATGAAATGATACACATTCTCGCTGCAGAATGCAAGCGTTGGCCCATGCCAGCATGCTCTGGTGCAATTCAATCACCGCTGCATGCAGAAATTAGCAGCAATAACCACTGTTGCATGAAGAATTCACAGTGCCTTGATTTGGTATGCACAGACACAACCTGCAGTTCATAACGTGGGTCAAGTCAAAATACCAAGACTACAAAAAGCCATTCTGGCAGTTTTGGAGACCTATCTCACACTTTCTTTTGCTTATCCACTGCCCTGCCCATAGACTGCAAAGCAATCGAGCAGCCTGATAGTGTGCACACGTCTTCCTGGACTGCTGAGTCGCCCTCCCTAATCCATGCTGAATGTTGTGCCCTGCTGGACATATACTGTTTCTGGGTCATTGCTGCAGGCTTCAAACCATGTGCATTTGTGATCTGCACACTTCGATGTTCACATCTGTGGTCGCTCTGCCTCAGCCGCTTGAGCACCTGCCTGTGCAGGCACCGTAGTACACTCACAGCACTGTCCCTGGAAAATGATTACTTTGGTGCGCTTTACAGTGCCATTTACCCCTACAATGGCCATGGACTCACCAGAGCCTGCTGCAGTGACCGCCTGCCTCCATTTCTTGTCCTGGACGTCTCCTGCGGCAAAGACCCCCGGCACGCTTGTGACTGTGCTGCCAGGCACAGTCTTGATATACTTCTCCTCATCCAGGTCCACCACTCCCTGCACGAGCTGGCTGGCCGGGTCATGACCAATCGCGAAGAACAGCCCGCTCAGCTCTAGGTCCCTCTCCTCCCCGCTCTTGACGTTCCGAATCTTGACGCCCTTCAGCAGGTTGTCCCCGTACGCCTCCGTGACCACCGAGTCCCACAGCACCTCGATCTTGGGGTTGTCGAGTGCCCGCCGCTGCATGATCTTGCTGGCCCTCAGCGCGTCGCGGCGGTGCACGATGTACACCTTGGACCCAAATTTCGTTAGGAAGACGGCCTCCTCCATCGCGGAGTCGCCCCCGCCGATCACGGCCAGCGGTTTGTTGCGGAAGATCGGCGCCGCTCCGTCACACACCGCGCACGCCGAGATCCCCTTGCTCCAAAAGCCCGACTCGTCCGAACCCTTGAACGACAGCCGCCTGGCCACCGCGCCGGTGGCCATGATGATCGCGTCCGCCACCACGACCGTGCCTTCCCCGCCGTGGACCTTGAAGGGGCGCGCGCCCAGGTCCAGGCGCTCCACCCACTCGCCAATGATCTTGGTGTTGAAGTGCTCTGACTGGTCCTTAAACTTCTGCATCAGCTCCACGCCCAGCACGCCCTTGGGGAAGCCGGGGAAGTTCTCCACGTCCGTGGTGGTGGTGAGCTGCCCGCCGGGCATGACGCCCCCCATGGGTATGCCCTCGAACAGGATGGGGCTCAGCTCGGCGCGGGCGGTGTAGATCGCCGCGGTGTGCGCGGCGGGCCCGGAGCCGATGATGCAGACCTTGGTCCTTAGTTCCTTGGCCATGGCGAAGCAGGCGGTGCCAAGGAACCTGTTCACGACGGTTCCCAGAGCAACCCGGGGCGGGGAGGGGAGGCCAGCCGACACGAAAAGGCGCGCAAGGGCTGGGTGTTTGGTTCTAGGCCTGTACGGGTGGGGGGGGAGTAAAAAGAGGGTGTGGCAAATATCCTGCGCGTTGCTGTTCCGCCAGGGGGCAGGTGGGGCGTGCAGGTGTCTCGAACAGCAGCGGACCCCAGGCCCGCCTATATAGGAATCTGGGGAGTAGCATGAGCACATGCGTTGGGTGCCTGGGGTTATGAATTTATCATTGTGGGCGCAGCTTGGCCAAATTATTGGTTTGCACCTCAAAGCGCGCGTGATCCGTGGCGTGGGGTAGCACGGGCGAGCACGGCAGTCGGCGGCGGCGCGCTGGCGCCGCGACTGGACTGGTCGCAGTCGGGCCTTCCAGATCTTCTTGAAACCGACGCGGTAACACCCAGCATGTCTAATGATGCCTTTTGGGGCAGTTGGCATCGATTATGGTGACGACGTTCAAGCACCACGGCGCCACTTCAGGCCGCGCGGAAAGGAATGAGGTAAGGATGACCTAAAGATGGAGTCAACAATACTAATACCGCCACCTAATCATGTGGTCTAACTTCACCATGGCAACGACTCCAACACGGGTGAGTTAATTGTGGACATTACTCACTTATTGCCAATTGTTTGGGGCATCGGACCCCTTGTGTAGTTATACCAAAAGCGGTTGATACCTGGGGACACTCGTTCATCCAAACCCCCGGTGTTGAGACTCGGCGTTGTGCAGTCTCGATGCTTGAGGGACAGGCCAATGTGGTGGACGGTGGCGCTGGTGTACAGATAAGGGTTTAATGCTGGGGTATGATAAGGGTGTGACCAACTGTAACATTGTGCCAAACGAATTGGCTGTCCGGCAGAGACGGGCGATGGGCTCCAGACCGGCGAGTCACCGACTTGTAAGGGGAGGCGCGGCCCGACTTGGCTGCAACGTTCTTGGTTGAGAGTTCCCGCTCTCACAGCCCGGAACGCAAGTTGTGATGCAAACCCCATCCTCGGACGGGAAGTTTACCGCATGCAAACATGAAAGAGGCCCAGTGCATAAACAGAGTAGCAAATAATCTGATTGTGCTTACTAACAGACAACGGAGGGACCTGCGCCCATGCAGTGGTGAGATGGAGTGAGATGGAGCCCGTCCAAGGGGGCAGCGCAGCGCCGGGGGGCCTCACGTCACTCCGCGCATCGACCGTTAGGGAAGTCTCCTCGATGTCCAATTCAGCGAATCAGAAAATGGCAAGGCTCCCAGCACACCGCTGCGTCACTGGAGGAGTATCTCTATCAAAAATTTTCATTAGAGGGGCTGCAGCAATGGGCGGCTGCTGACGGTGGACGCCCGAGAGAAGGCCAGGAACGAATGCAGTTAATTGTCAATCAGCATTGTAGACCAATTTCATGAATGATATCATGCGATTCATGAATTTGCAATTGCGCACGCACGGCGAAATTCTCAGCAGTTCAAGCCAGGTCGACCGGACCTGGCGCCACGAAATGTTCAACGTAACATGTTCATAGTAGTGAATCCATCAACAAATCGCAACGTCATTTACAAGGCAGGAGGGGTACTTGATTACTTTCCATCTCGATAGACAGTAGTAATTTGCGTGATTACTTTCCTTTTCAGTAGTTCTCTGAAATTTCGGATTCAAGCCGCTCCCAACAATATGCCTGACTGTGGCAGATTTGTCTTCGTTAAACGAATTCAGTCATCAACAACAAATAAGATAGTCAAAAATGACCAACACGTGTGACTGTAGCACTGTTGCATAATTCGTTTATAAATTTGAAACGAGCTGCTTCTGGCCAACTACGAAAATGAACATGGTATCGCGCTTGCATCATAGTTGAAAGTATGTTTGTTTGAACGATTTGCAAAACTATGATCAACTGAGACCAAAAGCGCCGGTTAAGCGCTTATGACGATGTTCATCGCCTTTCCAGTGCATTGGCATTGCTTTTCAAGCGGTTGTGACAAATGAGATCCATGGACTTATAGATTCAAACTATAGATAAACTCAAACTGAAGCGAGCAGCTGTGACATTCGAAAAGGAGACAAGCTCGTTGATAGCTCCAGAGGGGCGGATGGAATTTAATTGATTGTCTGGTACATTCTATTACGATCCTGGAATACAAATTTACATCATGATAGTATAATTTGTTCGAAGTTGAGATGTCAGCACAAAAATCGAGGCGCGAACTGTTGCCCTTCAAATTTGAGCAATTTATAAATTTCCTTCCTTAACATGTTTGTGCAATTCGAGTACGAAAAAAAGCTCTAAATTGCTTTGAAATTCTGTGAACAGAAGCGGGGTCCATGAGAGTCTTCCAACCCAGTGGGACTGGGCCAGCATAACAAAACACATCTTCAAGCATGCAGCTCAGAATATAATTTATCAATTCTGGATCGGTATTTTCAGTACGAGAGGTGGTTGGCACCACGACGAAACCGAAAGCCACGGGGATTTCAGCATTACGACGAGCGGGCGGATTCTATACGGAGCGTGTATTCGGTGCTGCACGAGTCACCAGTATCCCCGCTAGCTGGCATGCGCATCACCGCCAGCGCTGGAGGATATGTGATATATCATATATGTGCTCCATAACTGAACCCACTGCCCTTACGGTAATGCTGCATTTCCTTCCACAATACTGATTTTCGAGCCTCAAGTTGATTCAAAACGGCAAATTGTCTGTTTGCTTTTAGGCATCAATGCCGAACGCAGCGTTCGATCTTTGGCTATCCACAGGAAACAGCGATTCTAAAAACGAAACGAATCCGGTCAATCGCAACATCAAACAAATTAATACTGCCCATCAGAATGATCTATCTCGATACGCTGTACACAATCCGGAAGATTCCTACTGACCATCTGCGCCCAGAAACTTGTACTGTCCAGACGCAGAAGTTGAAACTCTATATCCGACTTCACCGAAATCCCAGTGTCTATCATCTTGTGCAAGAACTGCAACCCCTACGAGGAATGCTTTGCGCCCCTTTGGACGTTTCCCGGCAACACAGCTAAATGAGGAACCATCAGAAATTAGTCTACATGCATATGCATACAGTGGACGCAAGTGATCCAGCCTCTGCATTCTGCATTTATGTCGTGATTACGCATTTGTCAGATGATGCAGCAGATAGAGGCATTACTTCTTCTTGCCCTTTTTCCCGCCCTTCTTCCCACCGCCCTTCTTTCCCTTGCCCTTGGCATCCGATTTGGGTTGCAATGGAGGCAATCCGAGAGCAGCTCGCTTGGCATTTTCTTCAGCGATACGCCTGTTCCATTAGCATAGAGGAGTCGGGATTATTTCATATGATGAAGAAGGGTTGGGCGCACTCCATATTCATTACACTTTCCCGAATTCTCGATCACCAACTTGCAGTACCCAACTTGGACATTAAAGGTAACATTGGAGCACTATGGCACCCAAACATGGCCAAGACAATGCGATTCGGTCCCCTTCCAACACAATTTGATCATACTCGAGAACATTGTGGAATGGGCCACAAATTCCAGGCGTAAGATACGTACATACTTAGAAGGCTCGATGGCTGGGGAACAGCATACAAACATCGATGTGAGCGCATAAAAAATGGCGGCAGTGTGCAGCCCTGCATCTTGGCTGTGTGCGATGAGGAGCATGATATTCCCTATGTGCGTGACTTCCAAAATTTTAAAGTTTTCGAGGCGCCTGTTTGAAATGTGCAGCTAGCAAATCCATCATTAGAGTCTCGGAAGAAAATCTACTCAGAAGTGCCTTCCCGCAACACCATAGCTCCTTGCAAGTCGTTTGGATGCCACAAATAATTGAAGAACTGCCAATGGGCCATAGCCACATAGGAACATTATCTTCAATCGCGCGCGAGACCATCCATAAATAGCCTCATTTGCCGCGCTTTAGTGGTTCCAATGACGCGCTGCTGCCGGAGTCACCTCTCCTCTTCCATTTGCTTCATTTTCTGCTGGAGTTCGTAGACATCGCGCCGAATGTGATCCACATCTGAACAGCGTTGGTACCTGGGATATCGAAATCACCGCATTTGTTATTTGGACGGAGCTCCCGTCGACTCCCCAAGATTTTAGGCGCCAATGTGCGAAAGGGGCATCTTCGAGTATGGCGTTGAAAGCATATCTCGAATGAAGTATAGGTCACGTGGTGCCCTTCTGAGCGCAGCTGATGAAGATGTTTGAGCAACAGAATCGTATGTTTGACAGACACGCTGCATGGGCTTGCAGTGTAGCTGAGCCACACTCACCCCAGGTTCGCCATGCTCCCTTGAATGAGCATCGGCTCCAGAGGCGCTTCGTGTCCGGATCCGTAGCGAACCCACAGACGACCCTGCTGCTTTTTGTCAGGATCAGCGTATCTGTGGATTCAAGAAGGGGAGGGTCAGAGCGCCGGCAGCAGGCCTGGAATCTACTGCAGGTGTTGCCTAGATGGTGTTTGAAATTTGTTTGTGGGCCGGAAGTGTTGGGCGCCGCTGCAAACATGTCCTCAACAGCAGGTAAATGAAAAGATGCCATCCCTCCATGCATTAGCTGGGGTATCTCACGCTGTCTCTGACAGTATCAGGCGCTCATATTAGATGTGGTGCTGTGAAAAGGTTTTTGGCAGGAGCTCTCAAGGGACATGTAGGGAGAATCGGCGCCGGAACGCCGTCATGTGGTCATTGAATGGTGTCATTGGATTCCAACGTGCAATTTGCGTGGAGGCCTCACATTCTACTGATCAGCTGTCATGGAATTATGGGCGATGCTCAGCTGCCAGATGACACGGACATATTCACTGCATGACAAGCTGAGATCAACTGTCTACCACTGCAAGCCCTTCTCACCATCCATTGACAGCCAGGATGGCTTGCGGGGCAAACAGTTTGGCCACGTTGAATATGCTGGCAATAAGCTATTTGTGCCAAAGACGTCCGGTGGCTACGAGATAACAGAAATATCCAAACCCCGAGACCATGCCTCACACTGCATAACACTGTCTCCACTGGCATCGAAAAAGTATCTAGCTTGCTGATGCCATTCCTCAAGCAGTTGCAAGAAATGGAACTTCCTTAATGGCGTCCCAGCTAACATTTCATTGCGAGAGTTTGTTTAATTTCATGACAGTGTTTTCCTAAAGTTGAAAAGGTTTGGCCATGTGCAAATTCACGTACTTGACGCCAATAACGGTGCCTGTCATTCCTAGAGGTGTTCTCACGATATCAGTGACCTGAAAGGCAGGCGCATCCAAACGTCAAAGCCGTGAAGCTGAAATTTTCAACGGCTCCAACACGTAAACCAGAGCGACCGCCGGAGCCATCTCCCAGGTTCTCTGTTCACTCAGGGGTGTATTAGATTTCGGAAGCGGCACAGAGCTTCATCTGATGATCATGTCTATTCCCAATGCCGGAGCCTGCAATGGACGAATGTTGCAACGCAAGCTGCTAACCGCACTAGGAAAAAAAGGGCCAAATAACACTTTTGCGAACACACATAAAACATGTTTCATCAAAATTCTGCACGCTAAGAACACAAAAATAACACAAACCCATAAACTTTGTACACGTTTGAACACGTGTTGTTTTGCCCTTTTCTTCCTAGTGCCGTAGGCACATATCAGCGACGTATGCTGGCCGGTGCAAGACATATGCTGTGCGCACTTTTGAGAGCAAGTCAGCGAGCCTCCCTGCACAAAAGAAACATGAACCATACCCGAAACCCGAATGGAAGGGTGTCCTCCTGTGCGGTGTAATACGTCGGCCCCTTCTTCTTCTTTCCCTGAAGGTGGCAGCGCACAGGGTGACACCAAAAACGCCAACGGCGCGAGTGCCCGACCCTCCGTGGCACCAAGTCCGTGCCCAATCAACGCCCTGCACGTGCCGACTATGGCATATTCCCCCCGCTCAAGCTACATTTCAGCACCGAGGCCCTGTTGCCCGCCGAAGGGCCGGCGGAGGCGCCTGCACCAATCGGCGGGCTGCCAGAGTCCAATGGCTTTGGGAGCGGGGAGGCCGGTCAACATGTGTCGCCCCCGTTTGGGGTCTGGGGGTTTGGGTGTGGGTGCATCGCCGGTGGCGACGCAGCCGGGAGGGGGGGACAAGGAAATGTCGGTCAGGGAGCGGGGGGCGTGGTCGCGGACGAACCTTGCCACCTTTCTTTCCTCCCTTCTTGCCCGGCATGGCCCTCACGCCATCTCGAGCGGCCCATGCTCAGCGCATCTGTGCTGGAGGGGACGCGACCTGGGCACGCGATTACTCCAACCGCCGGCGCTCCGCTGCTGGTCACACTTCCTCGCTGGCTTGCGACGCGCTCCGTTGACCTGAGGCCCGCTGGGACCGCGGCGCAATTGGGCGACAGATGCCTCACACTCCTCCCCTCGGCTTGCCAATTGCGGCCATTACATTCCAGTTATTATTGCCACACGGACACAGCGCACAGACCCCCTCCCGCCCGGGCCCGGGGTCTTCATGCCGAGCCATGCTGCCCAGATGCTCCATACATGTGTCAAAAGGCAGTTCAATTGAGTTCACCCGCCCTGAGGAATTGGCTCAACATCTCACAGGCGGAAAATCCTGACAAACTTACGAGACTGCGAAGCGTCGAAAGCACGCGCTCACAAACTTCACGCGGCCTCGTCGCTGTTCGCAGTGTCAACGTGACGTCAATGAATTCGCTCCACATTCATGATGGCTGCCCAGAGTGACCCTATAATAATAGCAGGAACTGACCCATGTCCGTGGTGATGTAAGGAAGGATATGTAGGAAAACGGCCTGGAAATGGTCCACGCCTCCCGAGTCCCCACAATTAAATGATGGTACAAATCCTGTATTCCACGCTTCCAAAATTATGCACTCTGCAGCATTCACTTCTTTATCAAGCGACAGAGCTGGACATTCCCGCAAGCCAACACAGATAACCCTCGAACCGGCTCACAGGGTCATTGACCACCAGGGAACCCGCAGTTTATTCAGCCATCAGGACCACGCCGCATACGGCTCCACCCAGGCCATCTTTGGGCCTCAGCTTTGTGCTTCAAATGGGTCATCTATGAGAAATCCCGATCTGGGAAGATTATAGGCGCTGCAAGCGTCCAGATGTACAGGATAGCGGTCACCAGTTGAGAGGCCATCTTGACCCAAACTGACGCCCAGCCCACGTCAATGAGGGCCCCTCCTTCGCCGGTTCCCCACGAAGTCATGAGCATGGCCATGTACATGCTAGCCAGGGCAAAAACAGCATGGAAAAGGCTGTAGCTGTAGGCGACCGGCTCGAATTCATCCATCGCCCGGACATCCACACCATCCCGCGAAGCCATAGGAATTTCTGGGACCTGAGATTCCTCATCGCCGAGTTCAGCAGATGTGCCATTTTCCACTTCATCAAGCAGGGGCCTCTCAGCCAAGTCGTCTTCGCCTGCTCACCCCACAGATCGGCCAGACAATGGATAAGCGATGGAGGAACAGTCAGTGTGGAATGTGAGGAGAAATGGTGAGACAGTGTGAATGCGCCTCACAACTGCCAAACGCATTTTAAACTGACGAAGCTGGGCGCGTTGCTCTGGAGTTACCATCCAAGAAAATGGCTGTGCACAGCCAGACTCCTGGCTTCGTTTTCTCCTTGCACACACTGAGTACATCTGTGGACTAACAACAAGAAGATACACAGCATAGCGCTTTCAATGTCGCAGGCAACTCTGTGGGGCCCAATTTGGTAGGGATACAGAATGACTGGCCTTAACATTTGGTGCTGATCTGTGTGCATCCCAAAACAGCTCCCAATGATGTAGATGACGTTCCAATGAGTGAATACTCTTGATTCAATCCCACTTGAAAAATTTAAACAAGGCGTGTCAGCTGGTCAGCATGTGCGTCCAGATCCTGTGTCTATTGTGAACAGGCCACAGCAAGCACATCCATCCCTTGGGACTCACCATCTTGGCTGGTGAAGAAGGTGGAGGTGTTGGATCCAGCACGAAGAGCCGAATAGATGACAGCACCGAGTGTCAGCATCATGGCAAAGACCATAGCACTTGCCGACTCAGCTGTGTTCACAAGGCCATTGCAGTCGCCCTGAGGGTTGCTCTCCAGTGCCGCAAGGCACAGGTACATGCAGTATGCACTCATCATGCCCGCAGGAAAAAGACTCCCATTGGTGACCGCAGGATGAATGGACATTATGGAAAATCCAATGGAGAGGATCAGACTCCAGACGATGAGCATCACGTTCAGTGTGCATGAGGATCCACTTGGTTTGAAAAGGTAGATACCAAATACTGCCATTATCACTGTGCCAAGGTAACAGGCAGCAGTGGCTCCCAGCAGCAGGTACATGTATATCTTATTCTCTGAGCTTTTGTCAAACCAGATGTCGTTCAGAAGTCCAGTGGCATCTAGAAGAATCAACATCTGTACTATGAGGAAGACGCCAGACCCAAAGCGGGCCACCCAGCCTGCACAAGGCACACAGAATTCATCACCACCAGCCACTTCCATCAGGTTCCCACACATACCATTGAGGGTTGTGGCACAGTATTGCACAAGAAACAAGACCTCGAAACGACAGCAACTGCGTGTGTGCACAGCTCAGAATCACAGCCACAAGCCAGCCTCACCTATGTGGCTAGGATTCGATGCAAAAATGGAACAGTTGCTAGTCCATAGCACAGATTCTTGCACAAACAAATTCCCAGTTCTCACCCACAGCACCCATGCAGCTGCCCCAACACACAAATGTGCTGAGCCCACATCATGCTCTGTTGCTGCCTGTGGGCCACCATAAATGCCACAGGACTGCCAGCGGACAAACAGGTGCCCCAAATCCAAATGACAATATCTGGAACAATTTCTGGTCAATCCATTCATCCATCCAGGTCCAGCCTTCCTTTTAAAAGGAAGCACCAGCCTTCGTTGTACCTGGCACAAATCGCCAGCATTGCCAGGCAGTAACACTGTGCCAGGTAATGGGCAGGACTTGGACCTCTTGTGGCCACAGCTGGATGCTTAGCACAGGCACAGAGAGGCACACAGGACAGGGTGGCACTTCCCAATTCGACTGAATGGGGAGCTCAGGCCCAAGCAGCAGCAGCAAACAGTCGATGCTGAGGCCACAGACACCCTGACTTGAGGTTGGGTAGGCGGGTGCACAACCAGCACAGTCTCTTGGATATAATTTGCGCCAGTTTCTTTGACCGTGGGGTTCTGTGTG